CCCATGCATGGTGTGGGGGGAGGGACACAGGCCTCCCGTCTGGAGCTGCTGTGCAGCATGGCTTGCACAAGCACTGAAGCTCCATCTTAGAACGCGAGTGGTAAGAAGGAACGAAGATAACAGTCCGGCAGCCCCCTTTCTTCCTTTGGTGCAGAGCATGAGGAGAGGACGGGGTGGATGTGCAGACCACATGGACACTGATAAGGGAAAATCTCCAGTCCTTAGCGCATGGAGTACATATGCAACATGAAGTGCACCACACATAGGGACAATCACTTGAAGAACCACCACACACCCTCTAATCCTTACTGGCCATTTGATCAACCTATAACCTCTGGCCCAACCGTGTTCAGATCAGCAAGAGCTGGGAATTCGGGGGACACAGGGAATATAATGTCATAAATTCAGCTGCTAATATGAAAATAAGTAAAGAAGAGAAACAGCCCTGCAAAACCATTCCAAAGCCAAGAACGGAATAGCCACAAACAGGGACTTTTCTTTCTTACCAAAAGGAAGGTAAGCCCCTCTTTTTAAGCAGGGGCTCTACAGGGGTTTAAGGCCGGGGGGGGAGACAAGAGAAACCTAGGATTCAATGGAAATGCAGAGGAAAGGGAATTCCCCGTTTATCCACGGGGAACAGTCCCTGTAGCTCAGGGGACATTGTTCAAATCAATATTCTATATGTAAGTTGGCAGCTCCAGAAGATAAACAGAGGGCATCAGCCAGCATGGACTTCTCCCAGCTTAGACACTTACATATATGCTGTCCTGTTGGTAGCGCTGATGCAGGTTGAGCAGAATAGCAGCCTCATGCAGGTCTCCCAGCATGGACATGTCTTCCACCCCCTCCACACTAGTCTGGTGCATTGGCAAGACCTTCTCCCTGGATAAGGAAGCCTGTGGGTAGCAGAATACCTGGAGAGAAAGGGAAAGGGACCAGTAACAACTGAAAAGAGAATCACTGACCACAGCTTTACCCCACGGCACTTATTAATGATCAGAGGTGGAACATGACACAGGGTGGATATCTGCTGTTTGGGTTTATTTGCACAGCTTCCTACACTCCTCTCCTATCTGGATGAGCCCTCTGGAGAGAACATTGGGAGCATGCAGACTTCCTCCACTCCAGATTTGTTCTCTCCACCTTCAGTACTGCCTGAGAGAAGCTGGACTCACAGAGCAAAACGCTGTCACCCTGAGAGTTAAAAAAGGTAACATGGAGCCCACATCTGGGGGAGATGCCTAGATACCATGATGATGAGTGTGGAATAAGAACCTAAGCACAAGATAATAGATTTGTACATGTGCACTTGATGTATGTTTCAGAATGTATTTCCATCCTTACTCTGCACATTCTCAGAGGCCTGGACTACATCTCTGAAGAGAGTGAAAAGCAGAAGCCCGACCAAAAAGACATGCTCTTCTCCTTTTATTTTAAAGATCATGTTTTATAAGCAAATCTCTTGTTGTGTGTTTGCACATGATTTTTGAAGTCACAGGTTTACAATGGCTGTCAATTCTTCTCAGCTCTGAGGCACATCCTCTTCTCTCTGTCCCTATAGCTAAAAACCTTGCCCAAGTTGCATTGGCCTGTTTTGCTGACACATCATAATGCAGGCTGTCCCCCAGATAAACTACTTAAACTGGAGTTAGAACTGGAGGTACACATCAGTACCTTGAGTCTGAAGGGAATGACGCTGAGGCCCACCCTGGCATATTCTGAACATGCAGCCAGTGGCCTCACTGCCCCTCCTCTCCAGGGTGGATACAAATTGTTGTTGTTTTTTTAAATAAAATTTAAAAATCTGATTTTTTATTTAAATCAAATATTTTTAAAACAAAGTATTGATAATTAAAACTGAAATTGAGCACTTATGTTAAAGCCTAAACATATTATAATCTATAACAATCATTTAAATTAAATACAAAAAATAACACCAAGTGGTATGTTTGCTTCCAAGTTTTAAAGAAAGCCAAACCACTGAAATAGTAGAAGTCACTGGCAAAGCACTTAGAGCCAGAATTTGTTAAAGCTTTTTAACACCAGTAGCCTCTTGTATAGGTGCAGAGAGAATATTTTCTTCATTTCAGTTTATTCAACTAGTTCAGTTCAATGACGACTTCGTTCAAAGTAAAGAAACCAACTGGAAATGATAAAAGCAGGAAATCTTGTTTTCCTCTTCCAATCGATCAAGGAAAACTAGATGTGAGAGGATAAGATCTACTCATTCTAAATTCTTGAAAGACATGGAGACGAGAAACTACCAGCTGAATTTATTAGCTACAGATAATACTTCCTTTGCTTAATAAATCAGTTAGTTTTAAATGCAAAATGTAATAGATTTTTTTATATGTATCCAGTACATTTAAAGTTGTTTTTTTAATGCTGTTTTGCATTTTTAATTGAATTTGAATTTCCATCCAAATAGAACTTGATACAAATCAGAAATAAAGAATTAATCTAGTAAATAAGAAATGCATCACTCACCATTTTCTAACCTAAAACATGTAAAAATTAAGAATGAATACATGTAAGTTAAACTATACAATTGCTTAAATAAATGCATATAGATATGCATAGCCTCCAGGTTAGCAAAAAGAAGCAGTAAATTTAGTATATATTCTATATTTAGTTGCCAACCAACATGTTTTAATAGTTATTAACTAATGAGAATCAACCTTACTTTAGAAAAAAATAACTAAAATGTACAAATGAAAATTAAAATTGATTTAAATCATGATTAAAATCAGGGATTTAAATTTTACATTTGATTTAACTCACTCAACGCTGCTGCTCTCATAAATCCCTGTACCACTTTAAGCTTGCAAATACTATGGAGCAGTGGCTGGGAAACAAAGCAGGGGAAAGGAGGCAAGATAAAAAGGTACAGGTGTGATCTCTCCTCACACCTACCTCACCATCACTTAGAGGAGAGGAAAGTGATCAGGAACAGTCAGCATGGATTCACCAAGGGCAAGTCATGCCTGACTAACCTAATTGCCTTCTATGAGGAGATAACTGGCTCTGTGGATGAGGGGAAAGCAGTGGATGTGTTATTCCTTGACTTTAGCAAAGCTTTTGAAACAGTCTCCAACAGTATTCTTGCCAGCAAGTTAAAGAATGGGCTGGATGAATGGACTATAAGGTGGATAGAAAGCTGGCTAGATCATCAGGCTCAACGGGTAGTGATCAACAGCTCCATGTCTAGTTGGGAGCCGGTATCAAGTGGAGTGCCCCAGGGGTCGGTCCTGGGGCCAGTTTTGTTCAGTATCTTCATTAATGATCTGGAGGATGGCGTGGACTGCACCCTCAGCAAGTTTGCAGATGACACTAAACTGGGAGGAGTGGTAGATATGCAGGATACAGAGGGACCTAGACAAATTAGAGGATTGGGCCAAAAGAAATCTGATGAGATTCAACAAGGACAAGTGCAAAGTCCTGCACTTAGGACGGAAGAATCCCTGCACTGCTACAGACTAGGGACCGAATGGCTAGGAAGCAGTTCTGCAGAAAACGACCTACGGGTTACGATGGCCGAGAAGCTGGATATGATTCAACAGTGTGCCCTTGGTGCCAAGAAGGCTAATGGCATTTTGGGCTGTATAAGTAGGGGCATTGCCAGCAGATCGAGGGACGTGATCGTTCCCCTCTATTCGACATTGGTGA